ACAGCACTTCGACAAGGAGACACGAAATGGGGGTGAAGAAGGAGAAGTCTTGACATTAATACCACTGAACCAATTACCTGTCCATTGAAACGAAACGAGCAGCGGCGACTGTGAATAGCGCTGATACAATACATGTAGTTAGGTGTTTTAGTTTTAGTTTCGTAAGACTTTTACGGCACTTGCAACAAAATAAGGTCATATAAGTGCCAAAGAATAGATGTGTTACAAGAGAGTAACATTATACACAAAAAAGAAGGAGGAGAGATAAGGACGATAGATGTTTGATAGGAAAGAAGAAGCAAACCACACCACAGCACCCACCAACCACCCACGTAGTTAGTTGTGAGTGGTTTCGGTGGCGATTTACATAAATACAATTATTATTCGTATTCATCGGCGCAGAACGTAGCCTCTTCATAAACCTCTTGTGCTATCATAACCGTCTCCGTCTTTGTGTTCTAGTTTTGGCTTTGGGGCATGTTTGATCTTTCGACAAGACTTTTGGTCTACATTTCGAAGTACAAAGGGCAAGATCGTAACACTGCTTTGGTCATAAACTTGAAAAGAAAAGGGGGTAGAGATATGTAGCAAAGAACATACTACGGCCTTCTCTCTCTCTCTCTCTCTCTCTCTCTATCACACACACACACACACACACACACACACACACACACACACACACACACACACAAACAAACACACACACACACACAAGCGCACAAAATTCCAAAACTTGACCTCGCTCTATGTTCACCTTTCACAGGTATCATCGGTGCCAAATGATCGGCGCAAACAACACAACAAAAAACATATCAATGTACATTATATATTTATATTATCCCTACTGAAAAAAAAGACCCTGTACACATAAATACTGTACATTTTTGTGTACTTCAATTAATGCTGTATGACGGCAGGTTAAAGAGTAGGCCTACACTTTATTCTGTTTGATAAAGTCTACCTCAATCCTAAATTCGTAAGATTGCGGGTTCCGGGGTTCGAGCCTCAGCTCGGTCCGACGTTTTGTCCTTGGGAAAGGCACTTTACACGAACTTCCCACTTGGCTCGGTCCTCTCGGAGACGGACGTTAAACTAGGAGGTCCCGCCCCTTAAATAAATAACCTAATAGTGTTGATAGGGGTGTTAAACCCATACCATTTCACCATTTATTTTCACCTCTATTCGTCCATTCGGAATTTATTTGATCTAGAAGCGTTCATAGGGGAGTTAAACCTATACCATTTCCACAGACCTACTATGTCTCTGAGGGGGGGGCCACGTTTCGAGTAGCCATGACTCATAACAAAAAGACACTTGTAACTTATTTAAAGAACGGCGGGTCGAAATTTACTCCTACCAAAATAAACATACCCCCCCCCCCCCCCCTATATTGACTAACCTCTCTGTACTGGCTACTGCACGTTCATTCGAACCTTCTCTAACGGCCACCTGTATAAGACGATTACCTGAACACACGACAATTTCTAATTTCCTCCCTTGTGTATTTTCTACATAATAAAGACACCGTGTAAGACAACCACCCGCCCAGGACAGCCACTTTTCTTCTCGACAATGGGTGGACGTCTTAGGAAGTTTTGACTGTACAAATAATAAAATGCTATGATATGATGACAAGTTACAGCAGCACAACCCCCTCTTGAATTACGTAATAGTGTTGATAGGGGTGTTAACCCTATCCGTACGTCGTGTTTTATGGGTTTACTATCGTACCCATACGACGTGGGGAACTCTGTGCCACCACTTTCCAAAGAGGAAATTTACTCGTTAATCCGATCAGTACGATTCGCATAGCAGTCTGTCAAAATTATTTTTTTGAGAAATGCTGAAATTTTCAAAGAGATCGTACTAGAACTACTCCAATATGTGAAGAATACAACCCC